CAATAGAAGACACCAGTGTGGCTTTCCCAATCAAAACTCTTTTTCCACAGATCAATAAAGGCATTTATTTGGAACCTTTTGCACATTTTTCTGAAATTCTTTGAAGCGATCTGATGAGGTTTAAATCAATTTTGTTAGAGTCGGCTAAGGAAGGGGACTTCTGTCTTTTATCATAAGTTAAGATGTGCTTTGTCTGTTTGGTACTGTGTTAAGTTACATGTCCCATACTTAAGTAGGAGCATATTAGACATTGGATCTTGTATTGACAATATATATATATATATGGTCGGCTGGGAGAGTCTCTTTGACTTCTCAAATCAACAGTACTCTCCTTCTTCTTCTCTTTTCTCCTTCTTCCTCTCTCTTTCTCTTCTCTCTCTCTGAACCTGGTTCAACTGAGCTATCAACACATGGTATCAGAGAAATAAACAGGAGGGAAGAAGACTTTACAGATTCAAGTTCTTGGTACTGCGATCAGTCCTCCCCTTCTTTCATTTTTGTTTTCTGGGGCGCGCAACCTGGATTAAGGGTGAAAGAAGGCTGCGGAAATCTATAGAGGGCTGTGGTAACCTATTCTGGTGTTCCCAGAATTAATATGGTCTGGATTACAGGTGAGAGAGGAGTCCGGCAGCCCTAGTTGGTGGTTTCTGGACTGCTGTCACCATGTGTGACAGCCCTAGTGGTTGTGTGGTTATGTCTTGTAAAGAGACTGGGCCGAATGGGCCCTAACAGCCTCTCTTGTAATATCTTTTATTTTATGTTGATGGACCACACTTAATGGGCCTGTTATTTATTCTTGTCTATTTTTCTTTATGTAACTGCCAAGCTGGCTACCCACTTAAGGGCATTCTTGTCATCATCAATTTTTAGATCTTAATAAAATAGGGTTATAGGAGAATGGAGAATTTTTTTTGACTCCTTCTCTTACCTCTTCTCTTCGCCATCTTCTTCTCCTTTACAGTTATTCAGATCTGTTTTATTCTGCTAATCACTAAGTTTAATCTTGATATTAGAGGACTGATTTACATCTTGGTATCAGAGCGGGTTTAGTTCCTCTTCCTTCTTTTTCTTYGTTCYTGTACRCTYTAAAATCAAGAGAGTGTATGGAGAGATAGGTTCTCTATAGTATAGAGAATCACTTGCCTAGTTGGTAGAAGGGTTTGGAGAGTTTAGTTCTGGCTAGATTTTGCCAAGAAGTGATGCTGTTCTGCTGCTGCCCGAAACCCTAGCCGACTAGAGATTTTCGAGGTTACCAGGA